CAAAAAAGTCCTGAATTCCATATGTGGGAAAGAGAACTATATTCTTTTTCAGGTAGGCACCTTATCTTTTTTATTAAGTACCTCTCCTCCTCCCCCACACTTCCCCTTCACTCACATACCTTTTTTCTTTGACTTTCATAGTTACAATAGTATGTGTGATCTAGTAGATAGTACATATATTTATTAAATAATAGGTATTTGTTAAATTAAGAAGATTGTATAGTAAATTGCAATGTTGGGACATTAATTTGAATGTCTAGATGGACTGCAATATGGTAGTTCATGTATGTAGATTTTGTTCAGTGCTCCTTGATAGTAGATAAATAAACATTTAGAGTGATATCAAAAGCCAGAATCTCAGAAATGTAGAGCTGGAAGAGATCTTGAGAAGTCATCAAGTCCAGCTGCCTTTGTTGAGGCAGGACCAAGTAAATTTAAATAATGCATGACAGATTTTTGGCCAGCTAGTTCTTAAAATTCTCCAGTGGTGGTGTTTCCACAACCTCTTTTGGAAATATATTCCAGAAATTAACTACTTTTAACGTTAGTTTTTCTAATATCTAATTTAAATCTCCCTTGCTGCAAACTAAACCATTATTATTTGTCCTACCTGCACTGGACAAGGAAAACAATATATCATTGTCCTGTTTATAACAGAAACAAAAAACAGGACTATGTAGCACTTTAAAGACTAACAAGATGGTTTATTAGGTGATGAGCTTTTGTGGGCCAGACCCACTTCCTCAGATCAAATTGTGGAAGAAAATAGTCACAACCGTATATACCAAAGGGTTGGTTTACCAACCCTTTGGTATATACGGTTGTGACTATTTTCTTCCACAATTTGATCTGAGGAAGTGGGTCTGGCCCACAAAAGCTCATCACCTAATAAACCATCTTGTTAGTCTTTAAAGTGCTACATAGCCTTGTTTTTTGTTTCAGCTACACCAGACTAACACGGCTACATCTCTATTACTGTTTATAACAGTCTTTAATATACTTGAAGACTATCAGGTCTCCCCCCTCAGTCTTCTTTGCTCAAGATTTAAACATGATTACATTTTTTGACCTTTCCTTGGGCAGGTCAGATTTTCTAAATATTTTATAATTTTGGTGCTCTCCTCTGTAGTCTCTCCAGTTTGTCCACATCTTTCCTAAAGTGTGATGCCCAGAACTGGACACTACACTCTAGTAGAGGCTTCACCTGTGCCGAGTAGACTGGGACAATTACGTTCTATGTCTTACATATGACACTCCTTTTAGTATATCCCATGCATTCTATTTTGACTTGCATTTAATTTGTGATCCAGTGTAATGCCCAAGTCCTTTCAAGACTACCATTGCCTAGCCAGTTATTCTGCATTTTGTAGTTGTCTTTATTTAATTTTATCTTGTTGATTTCAGACCAGTTCTCCAATTTTCCAGGTTGTTTTAACTTCTGTTCCTATCCTCCAAAATTCTTACAATCCCTCCTATCTTGGCATCATCCTCACATTTGTTACACATACTCTCTGCTCCATTATGGAAGTCATTAAGGAAAATATTAAATAACTAGCCAACCTCTGGGTTTCTATTTGAGGCTGCCAGTGAAAGCCATCTTTTGTTCAAAAACTTTGTTGAAGGTACAAAATGTACTGTAATGATAAAGAACTAAAGCCAGTGTGGGCATGACAAGCCAATATGTAAATACTGACTTGATTTATGAATAAGATTAATTTCTGCTACTTTTCATTTAATTACAGTGAGGGCATTAGGTTGTGACACTTAGGGTGTGTCTAGATTACAGGGTTTTGTCGACAAAAGTGGACTTTTGTCAACAAAACTATACCTGCGTCCACACTGCCTTTGAGTTATGTCGACATAACGTCAACAAAACTCAGCAGTTTTTGTCGACATATGTAAACCTCATTCTACGAGGAATAACACCTTTTATTGACAGAGTTCTGTCGATAAAAGGCATTATCGCATCTACACTGTCCTTTGCATCCACACTGTCATGTCGACAAAGCGGCTTGCTTTGTCGACAGAACTGGATGTAGTCTAGAAACTCTTTGTCGACAGAAGCCTGTAGTTTAGACATATCCTTAGTTATGCCTTCTACTTCCTCACTTACATAGCTATTTTCATATAGGTTGAACCTCTCTAGTCCAGCACCGTTGGATCCTGACTGGTGCTGAACCAGAGAATTTGTTGGGCCAGGGGAGTTCAATATTGTCTAGCAGCATTACCAGCACTTGCACTGCTTTCTGGTCTTAGAAGACATTTAAGGGTAAATTAGAATTAAATCACAGAACAGAACACTGAGAGCCTGGAATGGTGGCTGTAAACAAACTTTATGGGACCATAGGAAACTAGGCCACACCCATAAGTGGACATCTAGCTAAGTAAAATCATGCCAAATCATGAATGTTGCTGGAGTAGAGAAGTTCAGCCAGTAGACACATTAAGAATGTTTGTGTTTTAAAGGTTCTCCTCATGTCTTATGATATATGCTGTATCTCTGCGTACAGTATTAATATTGTTTTGTGACAAGCTTTACTTTCTTGAATTCCAGCTTCATATTTATATGATAATGAACATCAGAATGATAGTTACTTGGGGACTGAAATGAAACTTTATTTTTGACAGTTGAGTCCTGGCATTGTGACACCAACTGCTATTGAGTCTTTCTTGTGCATAAGAGGTTTTTTTAGGATACCATGCTAAGCTTGTTTTATAGAAATATACCCAAGTACTAGTTTGTTTACTATAAATGTTATTAAGTAAGTTGTTACATATACTATGTTCTGTTTAAGGACTCTCTCAGTATACTTAGAATGTTTTAAAGATGCAGTTGGGCATATCCTCAGCTGGTAAAACTTGAATAACTCTATCTGATTCAATGGAAATACACTGTTTTATGCTAGTCGAGAATCTGGCTTGCTTTCTTTTTAATAGCCTAAGTTATACTCACCTATATGACCTCTAGCATCATGAGGAAAATTTTTAATCTGTTAGTGCCTCAGTTAAGCAAATACACAAGTGTTTGTAGGCCTGATGCCTAGGTGGGTCCAAATCCTTTATTCTTTTAACATTTTCTATTAAAATGTTCTTGTTATAGATAAAGTTTCTCCAACTAACAGCTGTTGGTTCACCTGCTTTGCATTGTTAACTTGGAATTTTTTCACTTGACTCTAGACTTCTGTGGATATTATTTATAATATGACAGCTCTTCAAAGTCCCAATCAGGATCAGTAATGACGTGAGGGACTGTTTACATGAATGAAGTGACACAAATGCATGTATGTGTCTAAGTAACAAACAAAAATATAGAATATCAAATTCAGGTATTAGATACTTATGTGCATCTCTGAAAGTAAAATCTGAGCCAAGAGTGAAGAGGGTGGATGAGGACCCATTGAGAATTTACTGATGTGCATAACTTAATGGGCGTGATACAGAAATTACGAGGTGGGATTCAGTGGCTTGTGTTATGCAGAAGGTTAAACTAGAAGATCAAAATGGGCTCTCCTGGTATGGGACCTCCCTGGTCTGGCACCATTGGGACCTGACTAGTCCCAAATGGGAGAATTTGCCAGACCAAAGGAGGTCTCTTGCCACTGGCCCCCAAACCCCAGCAGGTACCCTGCTTCGCCCTCCCGTACCCCCAGCCTGTTTGGGCTGTTTGCCCAGCTGCTGCCAGCACCCTGAGCAGCACAAGTTTTGGCTCCTGCTGTGGGGCTTCAGCCCCACTCATCCGGGGACAGCCATGGGGCTCTAGGCCTGGCCCTGTTCTCCAGCGAACTGCTGTGAGGCTCCGACTCCAGCACTGTGCTTTATTGGGCTGCTGTGGGCCATGGAGCTCGACTCCAGTTCCATTCTCTTGGAGGCTGCTACAGTGCCCCAGCCCCACGCTCCAGAGGGGCTGCTGTGAGGCTCTGACCTCAGCCCCACAGCCCTGGAAGCTGCCGGGGGCTCCAACTCCAACCCT